AAACGAGCCAAACCCGAACACACTTTTTGAGCTCGAAATATAAACGAGTCGAATACGAGCTGCTCAGCTCGTGTTTGGCTCGTTTACACCCCTATCTACAACAGTTCAGCTAATTATTTTCATCGCTCAATAAATTCTAGCAACTGTTCAGCTAATTATTTTCATCGCTCAATAAATTCTATTATTAATTTTTATTGATGCTCTCTATCATTACACTCTATCGATGGTCTCTACTATTGTTATTCATCGACCTCTCTATCATAACTCTCCATCAATTTTTTCATCAATTTTTTCCTACAAGCACTCTCAATTGACTCCCTAACAATACACTTCATTGGCACCCTTAATTGTTATTCTCTATTGAGGCTTTACACTAATAAACTTCATCAACACACTTTTTTTGTTCTCTTCTCTTGAATATAGGCACATATTTGTAAGTATTAGTTTAAAAGTCAAATAAAGATGTCATATTTTATCTCTTCTAGTAATAATGAACAAAAATCAAAGACATGCAGTTTATTTGAGATACTTCTTCAAGAAAAATAACAGGATGAACTGTAATAGGTGATACAAAGGCAAACTTCAAACAAATTATCAAATATATCTCAATTTCTAAAGTCTTAACCCATATGAATCAAGGGAGAAGAACTGTAGAAGAAAGAGATAATTATTAAAAACACTATCTTGCATCTAAAAGCAGTTCTGACCATAAGCATTGAAAGCGTCTGAAGAGTGAAAAAACTATGCTTCAGTTTTTCTTCAGTTTGCCGGAGTTTTTGGCATGCCACTTCTCTATAGAACTAAACCAATTCCACTGGAAGAATAGAGCTAAAAGCCTCATGAAACTTGCACCAGCCACCTCAATAAAAGCTGTTGTAAAAGAACTCTGAGGGGACAAGCCAGAAGTTACTATAGCAACCATGGTTCCTTCAAAGTTGCAGGGAATGATAAATCTTCCAGATTTGATTCCATTCAGAGTAACTTTCGCAACATCGTCTGCCTTCATTCCGGTTGAAGAACCAGCTATTATGTTGGTAAGTTCAGGCCTTCTCCCTTGCTCTGCGGACAGCAACAAAACATAAATACATAAATAAATAAATAATCATCTGAAACAAGCTGATTAGATGGAAAATGCATTACCATAGAAAAGCCAACATTGCAATAAAATTAGCTGATTTGATTTTTTCATTTATAACTCTAAATAAATTCTCCTAAACAGACATAGCACCTAATTCCTATGTATATACATAACTAATAGAAAAACTTTTATTTTTTCATTTATACACCCAAATCTTTCATATCACATCAAAAATACCAACAATTAACTTTGAAAAAGTGAAATACACCTTCTTAAGCATAGATAAGGTGGCATATATGTAAGAATTAAAGTATGGGTGTCAGATATGTAAGTACGTAGGAATTGAGTGGCATGTATATAAATCTTCCTAAATATTTTCTCATTTGATTACAACACCTGCGAAAATCATGATTCATGAGGCATATACCTGCAGTGGCATGCCAAACATGATTCTATGTACGCGAAAATAATGATTAATGATTCACGATTCATAAGACGTGCGCAGCATTGCGTACGTGCGTACGTCAGGGGTTATTCAAGGGGTACAGGGGGCTGCGTACGTGCGTACGTCAAGGGTTATTCAGGGGGTACAGGGGTTATATCCGAGTTATACCCCCCTGTAACCTCCTTGTTGTAACATCCGTGTAACTTATTTCTACCCATGAAATTACAGAAACGCGGAACTCATTTGTAGGTTACAGGTAGTTTACAAAGAGGTTACAGAGGGGGTTACAGCAGGGTATAACCCCGATATAACCCCCTTGTACCCTCTGAATAATCCCTGGACGTACGCAGCGTTGCGTGGGTTATATCGGGGATATAACCCCCTTGTAGCCTCTGAATAATCCCTGGACGTACGCAGCGTTGCGTACGTCTTATGTACGCAAATATTTTTTGCAACTGAAAGCTAGAAAGGAAGACTCATAAGCTCCATACACATACCTTGAGCAAAACCCGGGGTCTCTGTGTCCGGAGGAAATATCAGAGAAACATAAATATCGTCTGCAATGACCTCATGCTGCAATGCCTCACTCAAACCTCGAAGCGCGAATTTGCTTGCGGAGTATGCTGCGTAACCGTAGACGCCCACCTAGATTGAAATATAAAATTACAACAACAACGGCATAAGAGCAAGAACGCCTGAATCTAAACTCTGTAAATTCAGTTTCAGGAAAATAATGAAGAAATCAATTAAGAATCATGTTTTGCTTGTAAAATCATCCGCACAAAAAAAAAGGCTCTTGATATAGCATCAACAGAGCAGAACTGCTGATTAATTTTAAGAATTTGTTGAACTTTTTTCATGGAAAAACTGACGTTGATATTATGGAAAAACAAAATATCACAGCCTTACAGAGAGATATTCTTGATTACATGACTAAATATGGCAAAAGATGAGATTTTACTTACAAGGATTCAGCAAATCCCATAAATCCGGATTTACTACATCCTGAATGGGCTAAATCCGAAAAACAGTTTGACAACAACTAAATCCTGTAAATCCAGTGAAAGTATCTGGCAAGGCAGGGGAAAACCTGTTACCGAGCTTTGCCATAAATCTCAAACGCACTAAGTTAAATCGACCTATTCATGGGATTTACAAATCTGGGATTTATAGCCAAAATTCATGAAATTCGGATTCACCGCATCCCAGAATTAATAATTATATGGCTTAAATCCTGCGTAAATCCACCAAAAATCCGTAGCCAGAAAGCCCCGAACAGAAAGAATCGATCTTCTCACAAATGAAACTCACGAGAAGACCAATAAAGTGGAAACACTCCAAATTTTTCGAAACTTATAACTCAAAAATCTAATCAGAAGAAAACCTAAGGAAAGAGATGAAACAAACCTGCCCAGCTTGTGAGGACATTAAAGCAATGGAGGCCGGGAGGCCAGTCTCCCTGGTCCTCCGCTTCATCGCCGGAAGCGCGGCCTTGATGAGATGAAACGTGCCCATCAAATTAATATCGACCATGAGCTTGACCTCCTCGAGCTCCTGCTTCTCGAGCTCCGTCGGTATGAACACGCCCTGGTTGCATACTAGCAAGTCGATAGGGCCAGCTTCCTCGACCGCGCCGGCCACCGCCTCGGCGTCGCGCACGTCGGCGCTGAAGATAGCGGCCTCCACGCCGGTGGCTAGACGAATGGCTTCGCGGGCCTCCTCAAGGCGCTTTTGGCTTCGGGCGAGGATGGAAACTCGGGCTCCTTCGGCGGCGACCTGGAGGGCGAGGGCGAGGCCGATACCACTGGAGCCGCCGCTGATGAAAACGTGACGGCCCTTAACAGGGATCCGGCGGGGTCGGGGGCGGACGATGAAGGAGAGGACGAAAAGCAAGGAGATGGGAAGGATCGGGATGAAGAGGAGGAGGTAGTAAGGTGAGGCTGTCATTGATCTCGATTAGGGAAGAGAGGCCGGGAAAAGGAGAAGCGATCACTGGCTGTAAGGGCTGTGTTACGGGTCAATGGAAGATCTACGATGGGGAATTTTATAAAAGGATTCCGGCCGTCGGGGAAGACATCACATCCAGTCTAGATAATTGACTTGGAAAAGGTCAGATTTTTTAGAATAAAGCTTCGTCAAAGTCCGGAGTTTGCAAATAACAGGGCAATAAAAGCATATATATATATATATATATATATATATATATATCTGTAAATGTCACAAAAGTAAGTATCATTAATTTAATTTTTTTTAAATGCACTTATTTGATTTTTGGGACCAAAATTTTCATATTTACCAATGACACATCTAAACTTTCACAATTACAAATATAAATGAAAAGTAATATTCATTATTATATTTTAATAATAAAATTCTTCTATGTGTGTAAAAATAAAAATTTAAATGTGAGATAGTTAAATCAATAAGAATTGAGTGCTATGAATGTGATTCTCCCTTAATTTTTTTTAACAAGCACATCAAATATTTCTTATTACATATCTCATAGTCCAAAACTATAATAAATATGTTAAACACTTGAACATCATTTACTCCTCAATTATAGCTCTTGGTTACAAGAAAATATTACATCGGACTCTGGACGCTAATTGACTATGGACATAATTAGCGTCCAGAGTTTAATGGTGGGGAGCCACGTGTCAAGTGGGCCCAGTGTTAACAACGATGAGGCACAGTTCACACGTGGCGGTCCAAAGCCACACAACAATTCTTCCTCCACTGAAGCGCATCAACTTTTTCTTCTCTGTTTCAGGCTGTAGCTACGCTCCTTACTTGGCCAGAAGTTGATCCCCCTTCGGTAGGCTCAAATCGCAATTGCTCTTTTTGTTCAGCTCGAAACCGCATCAATTTTCCTTCCTCAGCTGAGCAACTTTCTCTTCTTTCGCCTCAAGTCGCAACTGCTTGTTGACCTCACTTTTGGTTGAGGTCTAGTCTTTCTCTTTAGTAGCATAGGGTCTAGCCATAGGACTTTCTTATTGACTATTCTTAGAGAACTAGAAAAATGCACCATCACCATTAGAAATTCTAAACTCTTCTTTACTCAACTTGAAGTTCCACATATTGGTCATAACTTCTAGCACTTAGTAGGTGGGGTCATTATGGGGGAGCTCAAGGAGAGTTCTTATATGAATATTTGACCTTAGGGTTGACCTTGGGTGTTGGTCTAGAGCTAAGACACTCACTTCACTCACAATCACTCACTACCCTAAACCCAGAATTTTCTGACTTTAGTCCCTCGAGCATTTGGGAAACTCATGTAGATGATCTCCTAAACCTATTGGCCCTAGGCTAGGGTTTAGCTAAGACCAGTACATAGAGGACCCAAATGAGGTTTTCATTGGTCCATGGCTTACTTTTGATGGTTAGTTCCCCAATTTTACCAAAAATACTTAGTCTGGTCTTTTGCCCCTAAACTCCCCCAAATTACCTAAGTACCTTGAAACCCTAAATTTGGTCAAAATTCTAAAATTTATCCGAAACACCCAAACTTGCTCAAAAATCAAATTACCCAAAATCACCAAAAAATGCCAAATTACCAAAATGCCCCTCATGAGCCCAAAATTTCAAAAATTATAAAAATTCCCAAAATATCCCAAATATTCTCAATTTTATTTTTCTCAACTACCTCATGACCCAATTTGGCCAATTTGACCATCTTTAACTTTGACCAAGACCCCCAAATTTGCCTTTAAAGACCCAAAGTTCCCCAAATTGAACTCAAATGTCCATCAATTTGATGCCCAAAGTTCCCGAAATTGAACTCAAATGTCCATCAATTTGATCTCAATATCCCCAAATTTCAATTCCAAACCCAAATTAACCTTCAATGTAACAAAAATAAACTAAATCCAAGCTCAATTGGCCCATGCTTTGGGCCCAATTTTGATTCAGATCAAAGCCCTAATTTTGGTCACATGACCTAATCTCATCAAATTGAATGTCTTAACCCAAAATTGGCACCCAATTTATGTTTGGCACCCAATTTATGTTGAAAAATTTATGTTGAAAACTCTTCATGAGGTTACTATTGACCATTTTCAACCATCAATTTGGATTTAGCTCAAGGTTAGACCAATCTAGACCCAAGTCTAGCCCAACATGCTCAAATTGACCAAATCTCCAAAATCCTTCAACTCCAAAATCAATCTCCAAAATCCTTCAAATTGACCCTCCAATTGAACTCAAAACCCTTTTCATCGTTCACCAAAATTATTCCTTACAATCAATTACACTAAATGCAACATTTATTTGTACCAATTAACATGGCTAACCTAGCCAAAACCTAATTTTTGTTCATTTGCACCCACTTGGACCCATGCGCTAAATGTAACATAACCACCCCAAAGGCATCAAATTAATGACTCCACAGCCATTAGTTGGACCGTAAGACTGAGCCTAAACTCACCTAACCCAAGCTAAGTGAGCCATGGACCCATGGTCACCTAAATTAAGGGATATGTTTTCCAAATATGCTTAGGCTTAAGATCTTTTTGCCAAAACTAAACCTTAGCCCATTAAATTGCTGTGACATATTCCCCTAGGTTCCCTAAGCTCCTAGCCACCTCCCCCTGCCATGGCTGACCGGTCTAGTCGCCGGAGAAGCCAAAACCGAGGACCACCTCCTCTTGAACTTCACCCAAATTAAACTTAGAGGCCAACTCACCCAAATCAAATGATAGAACACCTCTGCCCTCCACCTAAGCATCACAATACACCAAAACATTGGCCCTGAGAGCCGCTTCCCCCTCACAACCATGATAGGGGTGCTGAAATTTTCCAGAGAGAGACCTCCAAATCACTCCCTGAGCTTCCTTAAGACCTCTATAGTGCAATCCAATCACTCTATTTCCCTAATTCCTCCTGTGTAACCCTAATTTTGAGCTCTAAAATTAGGGCAGAAAGAGGACATCCCTTAAAACTCCACCAAACACCAATTACTTGTGCCCACACCTTCACAATAGCAAAAGAAGGCAAAGCCCCATCAAATATCCCTCTAAAAGAGCCCCTAACATAGCTCTAGACCAACACTTGAAATCAAGCTTGGTCAAATTCATACCTAGACTTTACACCACAGTAAGAGACTCAATCCTTAGCCTCCTTGGACCTCAACGAACATGTCGAGCATCTCTGATTGAAGCTTCCCTTCTCAAAGCCAATGTATTGAACTTCTTCTCCTCCCGAGCTTCTTTTGATTCTCCATTTTATTGACCTTAATTTCATGGAATCTTAACCATATGGATATGTTCCTCTAGTCTAGAAGAGCATTTTAAAAAAAAATTTCACTTAATTTGGTTGCACTTAATTTGGTTTATTAAGCTTGGAAGATGGACGGTTCTCGGGCTAGGCTATCGGGGACAATCGGTTCTCGGGCTAGGCTAGGCTAGGCTATCGGGGACAATGATGGAGTGCAATTTGATCAAGCGTGTATCGGATGAACGATCAAGATGAAGCCAGACAGTGCTTCGGGACATAAACCGCGGGCCGAGGCAGCAGCTACGTGGACGGCGGCATCCAACCAAACGGAGTCAAACGGGAGCGCACTTCGTGGAACTTCGGAGTTGCCTAGGATGATGTGGCGCCACACGTTTAAATAGATAAATAGGGAATTAAAAAATTCAGAAAATGACCCTTAACTTCAAAAATTCATATCTTGGTGTAGAAAAATCACAAAAATAAAATAAAATACCCATTTGCTTAGTAAACAGAGGAAAACAATGTGGATTAAATTTTGTGTCCATTTTTTATGCATGTATGATTTTTTAGTTAATTAAATGGTGTTTTTATTATTTGGATTCTTCATTTGTATAGACATTTCACCATGACATGATTTTTGGGGCTTTGATTCTCTCTGTCATGAGGGACCTTCCCTGATTTTTCCAAGGTGGCCAGAGAACACCTCTAGACAGATATCCATATTTTTCAAATTTATGCATATTATTTGCTTAAATTAATCATAGTAATTAGCATGTTGCTTAGAAAAATCCAAAAAAATTTTGGAAGGTTTATGATGACTAGAGAACCTTTAAGAAAATTTCTCATAACCCAAGTCATTCAAAATAAACCTAATTTACCTAAACCCTAAAACACTAAGGTAATTAATTTTGGAAAACACAAATACAAAATGACTTAATTTTTTATCTCCACTGTTGTTTAAGTTCCATAGAACTCCCCATAAAAATTTCAAAGCATTTTGAGTCCATTTGATGGCCTAAATTGATTTTCCAAGTTAAATATCTTTTTTGGCACTAAAATAATTTTTAATGATCAAAATATAACTCAAAAAAATTATGAAAAATGATAAAATTCATGAAAATGTTTTAAATTATTTTCTAAGCATTTAGAAGCAATTGGATAAGCATACCTACCTGAAATGGACTTCTACAGCAAATTGAGTAATTTAAGGCTATGCTGCAAAGAGTCCATCTCCATCAAATGAAGATCAAGATCAGGTTGGGTGGGTTATTTAAACTCGCAAGAATTAATTATAGACTTGATATATGAAACTGAAGGTTCTCTAACTTTAAGGAATTTTTTCAAAAATGTAAAACTTAATCTTCCACATTTAAAATATTTTATCTTTAATAAGTACCGTAGAAATTAAAATAATTCTAATAATTCAAATAAAATTCAAAAAATCATGAAATTTTGTCCAAATGGCTCTCTGGTCTAGGTCTATCTCCAGGAAAAGTTTCAAGTGATTGGGCTTCACCTTGGTCACCTTGGTCAAGTTAAAATCCTTAAAAAATCTCATTTTTGCATGAGAATAATTATATAAATTAAACTAAATTTTGAAAAATCACATTTTCTCCTCTGATGTCTAAATTGACCCATGAATGAGGTAAGATAAAAATAGATAAAAATTTCAATTTGATTTTGACAAATTATGAAGTGTTAGCCTTAGGGGCAAAAGAGTAATTTTAGGAATTTGGCCTTAGTAATTTTAGGAATTTGGAATTTGGCCTTAATTAACATTTAGGTTTAATTCAAGGAGGGAAATGAACAACCACTGATCTTAATCAGCTTGTTTGGATGACTAAAATTAAAAAGAGATTAATTGGTAGAAACCAACCTCACTTTCCTAATTAAAATGATAAATTAATAAGTTTCTAAATTATTAAAATTTGGAAGTTTA